TCTTTTTGGCATATTATGGTCCTCTTAAAGTAATATCTATGTGCTTTGCACATGATTATATTATCAAAAAATCCTATACATTTTATGGTTCTAAAATTCTTTATGAAGATTGCCATTTGTCATCATCATAATAAAAAAAATCCTTTTTTTTTTGCCAATTGTTTTTAGAAATATTATTATTTACATTGAAACCATCAATCTAGCATTTTTTTTTGAATTTTTAGATAATTTATATTTTAAACTCTAACACATCAAATATTGATATCATCATGTTTAACCAAAATTATTATTTACTTTAGATATTTTTGGTACACAAAATATAATATTGTTAAGCCAGAAAAACTAATGCAGAATGGCATTAGAGATGGTAGTGTTGGAGCAGCAAATAGAACTTATAAATGTCACTAAAGTAAAGTTTTATACAATAACATCAATTTTTAGAAGGGCATTCCATTTTTAGACGGTTCATTGGTTTCGGCTTGATTTTTCGATGGTTGAAAGTTTCAGCACATTAAAGGCTGTACACAGAAAAGACGGTCTTTAAAACTGAGTTGAATGACCACCCAAGCGAAGTTAATGGTAAGAGTAGTTTGAGAAAGGGTTCTTCTAACAGGGATTAGTACACTAAATAATACTCAACTAATCATGTCTTAATGCACACATTTACAATTATTGACTGCCCTTGCATTTATGCACTTCCCTGAACTTTAATTCTTCAAAACATTGCCACTTGAACGATATCATGAGACTGCCGAGAGACCGCATAAGTATTCCTACAAAGAACAAAAGAAAAGTCCAGTTGCAGTCTACTAATGTACCAGACCCAACAAAATAAAGATGTTGGAGAGATAGCATATTTTATTCAGAATTTCTCAATAAAGATACCATAGTTGTACTGCAATCAAGGATTTTAATATCAAATGAAGAATCTCAGCTGTATATACGTCCTAAATATGTACTCGTCAAAGAGGAGGTGGCTTCCTGATCTTTGTGGCTTGCTCAAAGTCGTATGCTATCTCTATCAGTTTTGGCTCTGATCCTTTTAGCCCTCCAAAAGAAATGCCATAAGGGGTGCCATTAGAGTTATAACCTGCTGGAACATTTATTCCAGGGTATCCTCCGGCGGATATAGCATATAATATATTAGCAGCAGGTGTCACCAAGGCATCCAATTTATTTTCCTTCATCAACTTCTCGAATCCATTTTTGGATGCTCTAGTTAAATTAAGAAGTAGTTCCCTTTCCATTCCGCCAATGCCATGGGTTTTCTCTGCTGCCTCAAATGTATCTTGCCCGTATTCTTCTATCCTTTCCTGAAGCACATGCAGTCAAGTAGTCTAAGAGTACTGTGTCTCTAACATAAGGCTACGGACTGAATTGGGCCTATTGTTTACTTACCAACTTTGAGTGTTTCTTATTAAAGACTATTGCATCGGCTAGGGATCGAACAGGAGAGGTAATCAACTGCTTTAGATAAGTATTTAATGCCAGCTTGAATTCCACATTCATGGCTTTGAATTGGTCATTGTACATTGAAGCTACGACGGTGTCGAATCTGGCTGTATCCACAATGTCTACCAACACTGCACCTCGTTTCCTTGTTTTAGACAAAATTTTAGAAAACTGCATCAGAACTTTGAAAAATATTGAAATAGCCTGACCCAAGTCTAACCAAAACAAGATTTTCTATTTGTTCTGTTAATGAACCAAAAGACATGGTGGAAGGTTTTTAACTTGGGTCCAAATGCAAAGTTAATCAAGATGCAGTTCAAAGCAAAAACTGAACAATTTGTTGTAGCTAGTCATTCAGCTACTTTACAAGTTTATATATAAGTTCACATGCCAGGTCAATCACAATCATCTTTCCCCGGACATCCAATGTGAGCTTTCAATTAGGTACAGTAGACCTTCGAAGGTTGGGCTAATGAACTTACCTTAGAATGTGGAAGTGAGGTTCAAAAGCTTTCAGTGTTTCAGAGGAGTTGCCGAATCCTACAAAGGAGTACCTTGGAACCCCCAATCTCTTTCCTTTAAGTCCATTAGACTTAAGAAATTTCAAATAACCTCCATGAGGAATATACTTCGAAACTTTTTTTGTTGCTACTGCATCATCAGGATCAAATCCAACGATGGCATCGAGAACATGCACTGCATCAGACACACTCCTGCATATCGGCCTGTTCTGCCCGATAAAGGTATTGTTATGAGTTTGTATCTATTTATAAGTACTTTCTTTGTCATTTTTAAGCACTAATTTCAAATCCATATTATATGGCAATAAAATATTGATGTAATAAAAGCAAATTAAGCATCTTTCATTACCCAACTGTATCCTGTCGATGTGAAATAGGGACAACACCAGCTCGACTTGTGAGCCCTACAGTTGGTTTGATTCCCACAACCGAATTAGAACTAGAAGGGCATAAAATTGATCCATATGTTTCTGTACCCAATGTAACCATAGCCATATTTGCTGCAACTGATGTTGCTGAACCGGTGCTTGATCCACATGGATCAGCAGATTTAAGGTAAGGATCCTACATGGAACCAAAACCACAATATGTCATTGTATATCAGTACTTGCATTTCTAATTAATTGACCTGGTAAGGCAGCATAAGGACTCAGCTTTTGTTTCCTAAATAACAAATTGTTGAAAACAATAAAAAAAATAAAAACAAAACTTCTGACTCAAATATTTGTATGGAAGTTTGGAAATTCAGTTGAAGCATATGAGCAACTCACCACACTTTGGCCACGTCTAGCATTCCAACCATTAGGCACATTGTTTGACCTGTATGCAGCCCATTCTGTCATGCTAGCCTTTCCTAATATGATAGCACCAGCCCTCCTTAGCTTCTTAACCACCCCAGCATCCCGAGGTACAATTGATCCTAGAAGTGCATAAGATCCAGCTGTAGTGTTAAGCTTATCCTTGGTTGCAATGTTGTCTTTGAGCAGAATCGGAATACCAGCCAGTCCTGTCTCCGATCCTGGCTTCCTAGCCTTTCGATCCTGGTCTGCCTTGTGGGCTAAATATAGAGCATCTGGATTCACTTCTATGACTCCATTAAGAACTGGATTTAGTCTCCTAATCTCGTTGAGGTAGAATTTAACTAATTCCTGAGAAGAGAGTCTGTTATGATCCAAGGCAATCCGAATATCATGCACAGTAGCTTCTCTGAATGAGAAGGGACTTCCCTCAGCATTATGATTGAGGCCGAGAATAGTAATACTCAAAAAAAGTAGCAGCGGTATATCCATATGGATTTCTATACTGTAATATCTTTGAGAGAAACTTGTTTCTTGCTTTTTCTTTCTGTGATATTCTAAGCTACTGATAACTAGGTACTATTTCTCCATGTGGTACAGTCAGACGATTTCATCCTCTATTGTTGCCTCTGTTTTGAAACTCGGACCGGACCGGCCGGTCGAACAGGTCGAACCGGGAACGGCCAGGTAGCCGGTTCGAGTCATATTAAAAAATCGGAAATTTAAAAATCCAGTCAAAGCCGGTCAAAACCGGGTTTGACCGGGCAAAAATCGGTTTTTCCGGTTCAACAGTAATTTTTTAAAAAGAAAATTTAAACTTTTTAATATTATGTTTTGACCCCCTAAATTGTTAAAACTTATTGATATATCTCAAATATTTGATACTTTATAAATATTGTCCTAAAATTTGATGTTATTTTTCAATTAAATTCATAATTTTAATTCTAAATTTGTTAATATTTATTAAATAATATAAATTGCTACTTGATTGTTCTAATTTCTTTGTATTTTCTTGTTAAATATATTTGAAACATCAAATATATATGAATACACCTTTATTAATATCAATATATTATTAGATATTATATATATAATATTTTAATTTTTAAATAATTTTTATTTATGACGTCATCCGGTTCGACCCCTATCGACCCCCGATCGAACCCATTGACCCCTGACCCCTGACCTCAGCCGAGTCGCTATCCGGTCCGGTTCTGAAAACATAGATTGTTGCTTGCTTGGCCATGTTTTCTATGATAAAGACTCTGTTGACTGTGACTTTTATTTTTCGTATAGTGCTTTTGGAGAAAAACATAAATGAATAAAGGACAAGTTACTCATAACCTCGCGCCTTTTTTTCTCCCATGATGCCACATGATACCTTAAAGTGTCAAAATATTTACATAATACCCTATGAATTTTTTGTAAAGTGGTGTTTTGACAAAAAAAAAAAGTTTTTGTAATGTCCACTTTGCATAAAATTATAGGAAAATTATGTGAATAAATACAAAATCACAAAGGATTCAAATAGATATTTATGCAATATGTTTAGGGGTCAAATGAATATATAAGCAAAATCATAGGTAGATTAAGTGGTTATTATAATTTCATTGCACTTACTTTCTAGACACGTCTCAATCAATAACACTATAACAGTTATTAGGGATACTTTCCATCCTTTTTTTTACATAACATAAAACCATACGAGGATTATGTAGGTATTTTGAAACTTACGGGAGTCATATAGTATTATCCAAAAGAACAATATGACTATAAGTAATTTATCGGGCAAATTATATTTTACCCTCCTGTAGTTTAGCAATTTTTTACATAACTCCCATATGGTTTCAAAAACTATACATAACCCCCTCATGGTTTGAATTAAAGTGTCAAAGTGATAGATATAGTCATTCGTAATAGAACTTATAGAAATGTCGTAATTACCCTTATAAATACATGACATACTAATCCCGTATGATTTTTATATTTTACTATATAACCCCCTTATAATTTTCAAAATATACACATTACCCCTTTGGTTAATAAATAATTTTCAACTTTATATAAGGGCATTTTTGACATTTTAGGTGATTCCGTTACTAATGATCATTCCCGTCATTTTGACATTTTAATCTAAACTATGAGAGAGTTATATATAGCTTTTGAAATCATAGGGGGGTTATGTAAAAAAAATACTAAATCACAGGGGATAAAGTAGAATTTGTCCTAATTTACCTGTAAATAAAAGAAGAAAAAGCAAAGGCCAATCATTTCTTTGGTGAAAACAAAGGCCACCGAGGGCTTTATTCACCGACAACATTAGTACAAAAAACATCGTGGATGCCAGTGGATGTCTTTCACAAACCATATGCTGCACTTGCTCTCTGATGGAAAAGCAACACTAATAAGTGCTAAAGATCAAGAACAATTAATAGAAAGCATTTTCAACTAAATTCAACGGATCTGAAGATGGGAGGCCTACGGATCATGGTAGCTTCTTCAAAATTAAAAGCCATCCCTATCAGCTTCGGCTTCATCCCTCTCAAGCCTGCAAATGGAATCCCAAACGGCATGACATCTCTAACATAGGCGGCAGGGACCACTGCATCTAAACCCTTCTCCAAAATCTAGCTCAAGTAGCCGTCTCTTGAGTCTTGACAATTTTTCCATCTACTCTATTGCCTTCCGCTCTTCCTCACCAATCCCATTTGTGAAGTCTGCTGCAATAAAAATATTTTGACCATCAAAGTAGCCAAAACTCTCCTGTAAAACCATGAGTTAAATGAGAAGTGTGCAAGTCTTCATTCGACTAACCATTTAATCATGTAATAGAATGCCCACTTTAGATGAGGAAAATACCAAATCAGGATTGTTCTTGTTGAATGCTATAATGCCAGCTAACGACTGCATACGATATTCAGTTTGGCCTTGCAAATTAGAAGTAAGAATTGGTTTCCGCCGGCATTGCTACTCTGTCTCCACTTTGAAAGACATCAATATTGGATGCCTCCCAAATGATGAATGAGAGTTGCACCTTGCTGGGATCAAATTTTTCAGGAAGAAGAAGAAACATGTTAGCTAAGTAAAAGCATTGGCCTAGAACTAGCAATACATCTGAGTTGAGTCCTCACTTTTCTACCGTAATGTGCGCAAATGACACTCAAGAATTGGAACCGCATTGGACCTACTCGAAAGGATGACAAGGGATTTCTTACCACATCTAATTTCTTCCCTTTGAGCTTTTTTTTTTGTTGAGAAATTTTTGATATGGCCAGCAACAGGAATGAACTTGGTAGCTGCTTTTGTTGCTTCACGGTCTCTTCGATCAAAGCTCACGATTGACAGCTAGACTGCTAGTAAGAAGCATCAGCCTCTAAGCAATAAGTGTTGGATGCAAGAAAAAATTTACTGCAGCATTTAATGTGTATTTTCTTCAAATGCATAGTTTAAACATCAAGAATGTTGTAAGTTTGTGGTTATTCAGAAGCTAGTTAGCATAACCTGTCATCATCTTGTCTTTCAACCTAAAAAAAAAAAAAAAAAAAGAGGCGCGCGCACACACACACAAAACATAATCTCAAGATAAAATTTGACAACTGTTATGTAGTAACTTGTTACTTTTGAACAGTTCCAAATGGTAGAATCTGATACCGCGTAAACAACAAAAGAAGCAGAAATGAATCTGGCATGGCCAGTTACCAGTTAGTCCAAAACAATCTGATTCCATCTGTTTCATTGCCCCGTGAAACCGCCACCATATGTGCCGCTACTGATATTGCAGATTCACTGCTGTATCCGCAAGGATATTCCCTTTGGTCGTAAGGAATCTGGACATCCAACAGCACCAACAATTTGATTTCCAAGTAAACCTTTCTAAGTTTCTTTCTGTATTTCATTGTTCATGACTTAAAGTAACAATCATGTATGTAAGATATTAAACCCACGATCGCAAGAGGGAGGCTTCAATTGGCATTGAGGCGCCCACATGCAATGGGTGACGCAGTTAAACAGAGGTATCTATCTCAAATGCAAGTGTGCAACTACAAATATATATATATATATATACATATACATATTTAGTTTTTGCTATCGATTTGGAATTCAGGAACATATTTAGTTTATCTATTTCACTTATTATACTGGATCTTACGGAGCCTGCTCATGTACAACATGATTCGGATCTGATCATAGAAATAATTCTCTTCAAGCGAACCAGCCTATCCTCCCCTCTGTATAAGGCTTACGCGGTGGTTGGAACAAAGACACATTTGATTGTGAATTCCAATTCCAATGTGGCAGGCCTATAACTACACAGACTAATCAACAGTTCAAGTCACACACCCATAATCCACTTTCTCTTCAGAGAATTCCCTTCGACCCACAGTCTTATTTATTTGACAGGAATAGTTGAAGGGAGATATCCAAATACATGTCTTATTATTTTCAATAATCCATACTTATAGCAATGAAATACTATATATTCCTCCTCCAAATGATAAATGATTTATTTATTACAAAAATATATGATATATCTTCTCTATAAAGGGCCAGAAATACCTTGTTTACGTATCATTGGAAAGTGCATTAACATAAATACGGCAGTAAGAAGCGGCAATACAAAAGTGTGTAAACTATAAAAACGAGTCAAGGTGGAACACCTTAATTAGTTCTGTTTTATATATATATTAGTTCTGTTTTAGTAAATTTAGTGAGTTGAACACCTTAGTATAATGCATAGTGGACACACTATTTTGTTGTCACATAGACATATTTAATGCCTTTTTAATTTTGTTCGTCTTTTTTTCATGACAATTAATTTCTTTTCTTTTTAATTTTCTCATATATTATAAAAAAAATCAGTTAACCATAGTTTTCATTTTAACAAACTTTCAAATCACATAATTCCTTTTTTCTATAATTTATTGGGGATTCTATAATTTTTTTACAAATTTTCATTTCTCTACTTCTGTTATTTGGATTGGTTATTTATTATTACTTCTAAAGTAACTCATACCATTCAATTTAGGTTGTCCTATTTTATAAAGTTCGTTTAGTAATTATTATATTTTCTCTATTGCAAACCTTAAGCCACACCCAAGTCCATATAAGACTTGACTTAGACATGCTCTCTATTACTTTTTTCTTTTCTCACTTCTTTATTTCTTAAACAATTTAAAAAAATTCCTGTCAATTTAGATTTCCTTTTCCAGTTTCTTACGCTTAAAGCAAATTAGTAATTCCTCTCTCCATTAGTTTCCATTTCTAAATTTTCTATTCTTAAAAAAAATTGAATTTTAAATGCATTCATTTTCCATTTCCATTCCTTACATGTGGAGATTCTAAATTATTTTCTCTCTTCTTTTTTTCCCTTTTCTAATCCTTGACCAAAAATTTATGATCTCCATTATACAATTTAGAAAATTAGGGAAACTATATATCCATCCCTCATAATTAATCACTTAATTTTATCCATTCTTTAATTTAGAAAACTATGGAAAGCATATAATCTCCGTCCTTATAATATGACAATGCAAATCAATTACTTCATTTTTAAATTATGTTCAAGAGCTGATTTAGAGCTTTACGTTCTTTTTCATTTTACAGATTTTCAATTATTAATTTTTTTCTTTGCCTACTGCTTTCTTCAAAAAAAAAAAAAAAAAAAAACTGTGATGTGTTAATAGGCATCTCAATCTATTTGTTACGTTACCAACACCAGTTAGAGTGAGCAAAAGTAAATCATAGGTTAAGATTCAATCCAAGCTAATGATCAAGTTGCTCTGATTTAACTATTGCTGTTCGATCTGCTTAACTTCATGATTGTTCTTATATTTGGCATGAATCTTAAATTTCATGAAGTTTGTTATTTTAGTTCTTTTCTATTAATGTGTTCCAAATTCTTCTCTAATTGCACTGGTGAATAACAAGTTTCTCATTAATTTCTTGTTCTCGTACCTAAATTGTCAAAAGTCGAGGGTGAGTGTTTTTTTCTCCGGAAAGAATTGTTGGATGCAATAATGCTAACACAGAAAATACGGAAGGAAGACAGGCATTCGATACTATGCAATAATATTCAGTCCTATTCCACTGAAAAAAGGAAGCCAACTTCATTCGATACTAGATTTAGACAAACAAAAAACAGGAATGGAGGATGGTTTCTTGGCCCCTTGCTTGAATTTTGGGAGGGAAAAGGTCTAAAATGGAACGTGACCGTCACCCAAAGAAAGTTAACTTGAGAAAGCAATTTGAGAAATGAGAAATTACCAGACAACTTCAGATTTGGACAACCATTAATTGGCAACATTTTCTTTACACAGTCAGTCTCTCCAATAAAATTGTGGATTTACCCAAGGTCATTACTTAGAAAATTATCCGGGTATTTATTGATAACTAGAAAAAAGCACGTGCATTGCATGTGTATTTAAACAGTAGAATTAATCCAAGCTATAGTTTATAGAAGGCCAATTATAATACCAATACTATTATGATTGCCAAATTTTTAAACCTGAGAATGCAATTGCAAAGATGAATAGAAGATAGATAGATTTGCTTGAGTAAATCTAAGTGTCATGTTGGCCTCAAAAGTGCAAAGTTGGAAAGGCAAACTACGAAGCAATGCAGGTAAAGAAGTACTTTTGAAATCTATGGCTTTAGCCCTTCCATCATTTGCCCTGTCTGTTTCTAAAATTTTTACTAACCTGTACAAAGAGTTAAGTGGTATCATGGCCAAATTTTGGTGGGCCAATGACCAACGGGAAAAAAAGATGAGCTGGAAGAAGTGGCAAGGCCTCTCTAGACTCTAGAGTCCAGAGTTAAAGGGACATTCAATGCTTCAACATGGCACTTCTTGCCAAGCAGGCATGGAGGACTCTTACCAGTTACTATCCCCAATTTGTTAATGAGCAAAGTGTTGAAAAGCAGATATTTCCCTCAATCTGGTTCTCTGGATTCAAAAGCCAAAGTGGGAGCATCATGGTTATGGCAAAGTCTTCACAGTTCTATACCTTTACTGTCTAGTGGCTTGAGGAAACAAGTGGGAGATGGCAGATCGGTTAACATCTGGAATGATTGTTGGCTAGCTAGAATTGACAGTGGAAAAATCTCATCATCAAGACCAGCCGGATGCACGGTGGAATGGGTTAGTGAACTCTTACGTGGCCATGAATGGAACACTGAACTGCTGCAATCTCTGCTCACACAGGAGGAAATTCCTTTAATCCAACAAATGCCAATAAGCGTGATTGGTGGTAAAGATAAGTTCAAATGGCTCCACTCAACTAATGGCCTCTACACAACAAAATCTGGATATGTGGTTGAGAAAGCGAGATAGAAGGTCAAAGGAGCAAGCATGAAAGAGGAGGGCAATCCAAGCAGAAACAAAGAGCAGTCTAAACTATGGAATCAAATATGGAGCATGAACATTTGAAACACAAGGTGAGACAGTTCCTATGGAAGTGCCTTCACAACATTCTACCTACTAAAGAAGTGGTGTTTAGAAGAACAGGAAAAGGAAATACCAGATGCAATTACTGTGGAGAATCTAAAGAAACTCTGGGACATGCACTCTTATCGTACAAAGCTAGAGAGCTGGCTTGGAAATCCTCTCCAATAAAGTGGGATGGACTAGAGGAACACAAATGGAATTCTGGATTTGGTGGGAAATAATGCAAGAAGCTAAAGTCAGAAATGATGGCAAGGACCACATCGAAGCTACTGCAAATTTCCTTTGGCAACTCTGGAAAGCACGAAATGAATGGAACTTCAATCATCAAAGGAGAGAGCAAGTAATGATACGCAAGAAAGTGGTGGACGAATGAATGGAATTTAAAGAGGCTGGAATGGGAAATATGTTCACATCAAACACTCCAAACAGGGGAGTAGAACTATAGCGCATGATGCCTAACTCAGTGGCCCAACACACAATCTTAATCTACACGGGTGCTGCATTGATTACCAATAAAGTTAAGGCAGGGGTGGGAATTGTTGCCAAAGACTGGTGGGGCAATGTCATCACAACATGGGCTATAGCAGTTAAGTATGGATGTGATGAACCAGCCTTGGAAGCGTTTGCCATCCGTGTGGCACTCACTAGAGCCGTAGAAGGAAACTGGGCGTCTGTTTTGATATGTCTGATTCTAAAGCAATAGTGGAAACAATCCATCAAGCCCTACAACGCATCTCCCCTCTTGATATGGTTATTAGTGACATTATATCTCTTAGTCACTCCTTTTGGCAGTGCTCATTTTCCTTCATAAAAAGTGAAATGAACTTGTGTGGTCATGGTTTAGCCAAATTGGTTATTGACCTATTACAGAAAACTGGGTAGAAGGGCTCCTTTCCTGTATGGCTCAAGAATGCCGCGCACACAGATTACTTGGCAGTTGCCAGTCTTTTGTAAAGTGGTGTACAGTTGCAACTACTTTGATGATAAATATATACATATATATATATATATATATGACTTTTGACCAAAAAAAAAAAGAAGAAGAAGAAGAAGAGGAGGATTGAGATGCAAATACGATATGTTGAATTTTTTTTTTAAGCGATACGTTAAAATTCACATATCTATCTAAGTAAGGTACTCCTCCTCCTTTTGCCTCTCCATATTATTATTATTTTTTTTGTCAAAACTTTGCCTCTCCATATTAACCACACTAGTAATTTTTAGTTGTAGGCTTAGTGTTCTAGATCTACAAGAGGGTTCCAGCCTAAAGAAAAGGATAGTGGCAGGCCAAATAATGAAAGAAAGAAAATATTTGTAACACAATAGCATAAATAGTAAGCAAAATAAATTCTCAGCATAAATAGTAAGTGAAATAAATTGTGCGATGTCTCCAGAACCCATCTTAGCTGGTACGGATTTTAGTCGACTCTCAAACTTGGTCGTATATATATATGTGATTTTGTGCCATGATCTGAGGATTATGTGAGTTTTTAGTGCTGTACGTATTCCCTATGAATGTAACGTAATCAAACTAAGACATAACTTTCCTCTTAGTGCGTCTAATGGCTGCTGGGAACATTCTGTCGGTGGTTGCGGGTGGGGCAGTAGTGTAATGTGGCACACTCAGTGGAAGGAATTATGAGTTGTAATGGGATATTTTAGAGTTTTGAAAGATGTTGTGTACCAAAGAAAAAGCCTAATCATTTTTTTTAAAAAAAAAATATCTAAATAGAAAATTCCTGGTGATGACTCAAACAGGCCATGTTGATATTACTATTTTAAGGGAGAAAGTTCCAACTGAGTTTTAAGAAACTTCCTCGTCAAATTCGCATCCAACGGTAATAAAAAATAGAGAAACCAGAACCTCCTTGAAGTAAACCTCCAAATTACTGAACCACATAGATTGTCAAAAGTATAGTGTAAGTGGCTTTTCTCCAGATGTAACCCAAAACCACCGAAAAAGAAAGAAAAGAATTATTGGATGCAGAGGACAAAGAAATAGTGGAACTGGAAGTTGAACATCTTGTCCCGGATTCTTCAATGTTTAGTCCCATAGTTGTACAGCAGTCAAGATGCTATTATCGAAAGATGCATCTCAGTTGTATATATGTCCTAAATATGTAGTCTCGAGAGAGGAGGTGGCTTCCTGATCTTTGTGGCTTGCTCAAAGTCATATGCTATCTCTATCAGTTTTGGTTCTGATCCTTTTAGCCCTCCAAAAGAAATGCCATATGGGGTGCCATTAGTGTTATAACCTGCTGGAACATTTATGCCAGGGTATCCTCCGGCAGAAATAGCATATACAATATTGTCAGTAGGCGTCACTAAGGCATCCAATTTATTTTCCTTCATCAACTTCTCGAACCCATTTTTGGACGCTCTAGTTGAATCAAGCAGTAGTTGCCTTTCCATTCTGCCAATGCCATTGGTTTTCTCTGCTGCCTCAAATATATCTTGTCCGTACTCTTTTATCTTTTCCTGAAGCACACACAGTCGAGTAGTCTGAGAGTATTGTGTCTCAAACAAAAGGCTATCGACAGAATTGAGCCTGTTGTTTACTTACCAACTTTGAGTGTTTCTTATTAAAGACTATTGCATCAGCTAGGGATCGCACGGGAGAGGCAATCAACTGCTTTAGATAAGCATTTAATGCCAGCTTGAATTCCACATTCATGGCTTTGGATTGGTCATTGAACATTGAAGCTGTGATGGTGTCGAAGCTGGCTGTATCCACAATGTCTACCAATACTGCACCTCGTTGCCTTGTTTTAGCCAAGATCTCAGAATACTGTGTTAGAACTTTAACAGTATTGAAATATGCTGACCAAATCTAACCAAAACAAGATTTCCCATTTGCTCTGTGAATCAACCAAGAAACATGCTGGAAGTTTTTTAATTGGGGTCCAAATGCAAAGTAATCAAAATTCAATTCAAAGTACAAACAAAAAATTTTGTGGTGGCTAGTCATTCTGCTCCTTTATAACTTTGCAGAAATGTTCACATGCATCCCAGATCAATCACAATCATCTTTCTCTGGGCACCCAATGTAAGCTTCCAATTAGGTATAGTAGAACTTTAAAGGTTATGCTAGTGAACTCACCTTAGAATGTGGAAGTGAGGTTCAAAAGCTTTCAATTCTTCGGAGGAGTTGCTGAATCCTACAAAGGAGTACCTTGGAATCCCCAGTCTCTTTCCCTTAAGTCCATTAGACTTAAGAAATTGCAAATAGCCTCCACGAGGAATATACTTGGAAGCTTTTTTGGTTGCTACTGCATCAACAGGATCAAATCCAACAATGGCATCAAGAACATACACTGCATCAGAGACAGTCCGGCATATCGGCCTGTTCTGCCCCATAAAGGAATTGTTATGATTTTGTATCAATTTACTAATAGTATCTTTGTCATGTTTGAGTTCTAATTTCAAGTTTATACTATATGGCGATGAAATACAAGTAAATTAATCATCTTTCATTACCCAACAGTATCCTGTCGAGGCGAGATGGGGACAACACCAGCTCGACTTGTGAGCCCTACAGTTGGTTTGATTCCCACAACCGAATTAGAACTAGAAGGGCATAAAATGGATCCAGCTGTTTCTGTACCCAGTGTAACTGCAGCCATATTTGCTGCTACTGATGTTGCAGAACCGGTGCTTGAGCCACATGGATTAGCAGATTTAAGGTATGGATTCTACATCGAATCAGATCCACAAAATGGAATTATATATCTGTACCAGAAATTCTAATTGACCTGGAAATGCTGCATAGGAAATCAACTTTTTGTTTCCTAAGCTACAAATTATTGAAAAAATAGAACAAGAGAAAAAAAAAAGGAAACTTTTGACTGATATAGTTGCATGAAATTTTGGGAACCAAATGAAGAATATCAGCAACTCACCACACTTTGGCCACGTCTAGCATTCCAACCATTAGGCACATTGTTTGACCTGAATGCAGCCCATTCTGTCATGCTAGCCTTTCCTAATATAATTGCACCAACCTTCCTTAGCTTCTTAACCACCCCAGCGTCCTGAGGTACAATTGATCCAAGAAGTGCATAAGATCCAGCTGTTGTGTTAAGCTTGTCCTTGGTTGCAATGTTGTCCTTGAGCAGAATCGGGATACCAGCCAGTCCTGTCACCGATCCTGGCTTCTTTGCTTTTCGATCCTGGTCTGCCTTGTGGGCTAAATTCAGAGCATCTGGATTCACTTCTATGACTCCATTAAGAACTGGATTTAGTTTCCTAATCTCTTCTAGGTAGAATTCAACCAAATCCTGAGAAGTGAGTCTGTTATGATCCAAGGCAATCCGAATATCATGCACGGTAGCTTCTCTGAATGAGAATGGACTTCCCTCAGCATTATGACCAAGGCCAAGAATAGTCGTACTCAAAAGAATTAGTAGCCAAATATCCATATTAGACATGCAGAAAAACTATTTCTCGCTTCTTGATCTTTCTGTGATATTCTGAAGTAGCTACTGATAAATAAGTAGCCAATAGAATGTCTTTAAATGCCAGCTTGAATTCCACATTCAAAGGCTATCCGAATATCATCCTCTGCTGTTGTTTTCTTGGCCATGTTTTCCATGATAAAGACATTCTGTTGACTGATTTTTATACCTGGTATAAGCACTTTTGGAGTAAAAAACATATATAAATAAAAGTGAATTATTATTTATCGTTTAGACCAAATAATCCCTAAAAATTTATACATAGCTGCCTCATGATTTGAGGTAAAGTATCATGGTGAATTTTTCTATTAAAACTAACAATCAACATAAAAAAATATAAGTATCATGGTTAATTTTTCCACCATCTTTGTACTACTTTTTTTTTCCTTTTTGTTTTTCCTTTGGGAAGGGAAGAGATGATGTACTCATAAAAGAAGACAAAGACATTGCCAATCATTCCATTGGTAAAAACAAAGGCCACCATTAATTGAATGGCTTTATTCAGCGACAACATGTGAATAACAACATAGTGGATGTCTTTCACAAACCACATGCTGCACATGCTTTCTGAAGGAAAAGCAAGATTAATGGATGATTGGATGCTGAATATCAAGAACATGTAACCAAAAAACTGCTTCAACTAAATTCAACTCTTCTGGGAATGGGACGCCTGCAGAACATGATGGCTTCTTCAAAAGCAAAAGCACTCCCAATTAGCTTCGGCTCCATCCTTTCAAGCCTGTAAATATTGTCCCAAACGGCGTGGCATCTTTATCATAACCGGTGGGGACTGATTCCGGGACATCCTCAAATTGCCAAAACTGTTGCCGGCTTGCCGCAGATGAACGTATTGTTGTCATCACAGCATCTAAGTTATTCTCCAAATCAATATCTTGAAGGCGTCTCTTGACTATTTCTCCATCTACTACATTGCCTACTTCTCTTCCTGACCAATCCCAATTCTGAAGCTGCTGTAACCAAAACATCTTGACCATCGAAGTCGCAAAAACTCTCCTGCAAAACCATGAGTTGATTGAGAAGTATGCAATTCTTGCTTTGTGATATAGCTAACCATTTAATCGTGTAATAGGATGTCTATGTCAGATTATTCAAATACCAAATCAGGATTGTTCTTGTTGAATGATATAATTTCAGCAAACGACAGTACATGAGATTCAGTTAGGCCCTCAAGATAATCGTGTAATAGGGTGAGCTTAAATTCAGCCAGTATTGCTACTGTCTCGGCCACAAATGCTATCTCAGCCAGTATTGCTGGCTTCAACTTATTCAGGGAGAAGAAGAAAACATGCTAGCTAAGCTAAGCACAATTAATGGCCTAGAACTGGCAATATAACTTAGTTCAGTCATCACTTGTCTATCTTAATGTGCGCAAATCATTCTCAAGAATTGGAACCGTATCAGATCTATTCAAAAGGTTGAAAAGGGAATTCTTACCACACACAATTTCTTTCCTTTGAGCGACCCCACAATTTGTTAGTGTGGCGACCCCACTTCCCCCTAAGGCGAACCAAAGGGTTGGCGGGCCGTCTGCCCAGTTCTCGCCAGGACTCACGCAAGCATTCTAACCCAAAACCTTCCGACGACTAACCTGAGCTATTACAGAAATGATTCTCCCGAAATAAATCGATTTCTATCACCACATTAACTTCAAAGATAACAGCAGATAACTTAGCCAATCGACGGCTCTTAAACACTTCACGCGTCGCTCGCAATGATTAAAGACAAACTATACCAATATAAACATACCTACCGAATATTAGAATTAGGGATTACACTTTCCAGCTTCAAGTAACAATCCAAAATGAAAGGTACAATGCTTAGCTTAGAAGTCATTACAAATCGAAAATTAAATTCAAGTTGTTCAAGTACATTCACTGGAAATATAAGCTGCTCAAATACTTTCAAACTTCCCATCCTGTAAGGAAAACAAATAAACATGGGGTGAGCTAAAGCTCAGTGGTGCCCCAAAACATGCAGTCACGTAAATCAAACAGCGAATAATAATTTAAACGAATTGAACAGTTAGGAAAGCGTATAACAGCACAAGGTAGGATACAGGGGCTCTCAGGAGCCATTTTCCTCGCTTGATCGCCATTCAGCGTAGTTGACCCTCCGTCAACTCTCACTACTTATAGTCCATGTAGATCCACTCATTTTAATCCTAACCCGTCACCATTCATACCCCGGTCCCGGGCCCGAACGTCGACTAAGGACGCAGTATACTCGAGATATACCCGTAGATAATTGGTCGAGGGATTCACCCAACGACGTTATTGTAGTTAGATTCAAGTGTCGAGGGATTCACCCAACGACGTAACTACTTTTAGATTCAGGGATTCACGAGGAAAAAAAAAATGATTCACGCAAGTCACCACTCGAACGGCTAGTGCGATAAAGTACACACTGCTCACTTCGATGGATCAAAACTCGTTTTGCAATTTATCACATATCGAGTCAAGAAAGCACTTAATTCAGGTAGGAAAAGAACAGGCAGGGACACTCACCAAAAGTGAAGTTCAGATGTCAAGTTGGGAATCGAATTCCGCGTCCTCGCAATATCCTAGAATACCAAATTTTGAAACTATAAGTTGTCTATTCAATTTTTAAACTTATTCGTATAGGAATTTATTTAATATAATACTAGTTTACTTCTCAAGAAATTTCAAAAATCTATTTAGGTTGAAACTTGACAAAAGTAGTAAAAATGTTCCTTATAGTTTTCCTTAGAAGAGGGTAACTAGTATTATTTACTAAAAACAAGTCGACAAACTTCTCAATATCAAAGTTAGAAGGTTATTTTGAACATTTTCTCTAAAGTTACGGCTTTTGCAAAAATTATCCTTAAAACTATTTTTCCTAAAATAGGGTTTCTTGCCGAGTAAGTTTCCCAAGTTTTTCACTAAAATTAGTAAAACTCGTATTTTGGAACTTTTTCCTATAGTTAACTATCCAAGTGCAAAGCTTAAGGAAAGAAAAGGAATTAAAATAAGACTTAGAGTTTTCAAAAGTTATAGAACTTAATTACTATAGCTATCAAGGCTAGATTGAGCTAAAGAAAATTATCGAGTTGGAAAGTTTTAGGCAAAACACTAGATATGGAGTTTTATAATATGATACTAGCTGGAAAAATATTTTTGATTAATTTGATCACAGTTACTCGAGTTCGCAAGGTCGATACAACTTCCTCCCCCCCCCCCCGCTCCAATTCCTTTTCGAAATCATAATATGGATCAAAATATGGCAAAAATCACATAGCAAATTACTAGGGCTTCGTCAATCATTAGCCCTAGATTTCAACAATTGCATTTCTGAATAAAATAAAATGATCAACCAAGGCTTCATCAATCATTAGCACTTGGTTTCAGCAAACCCATCATAAGCAAATAAAAATAAAAGTAAAGCCCCCAAGACGTTCCAGCAATTAACTTCCATCATCCAGTAATACTTATAAAATCATTCCAATGGCCAAGGGCTTCATCAATCATTAGCCCTTGACAACATCAATCACTCCCAACCACAATTTAGTCAAGAATTTAAACCACAGGTAAGCTAAAATCTCAATCCAAATCCAATTTAGTTTCACGAAGAAAACAGGACATTCATACCAAAACAGTCTACTTCAAGGATTCCCAGACAGCAGTACACATGGAGGAAAAATACGAAATTTCTACAGAACAAAGGCCTATGATTCTAGTTTCAAATGCCACTGACGGCACCTTAAACGGATTTTTCTACACCAAGATATAAGCATTTTACTGAGACTGGTCAGTGAAATCCGAAAATCCGGAAACTCATTTTTCACTTGTGAAAAACTCCTTTTTCTCCTTTAAAACCATAAGACTTTTATTCAAACCATCCATACATCTCTTGTAGAATTCTAACACCACATTTTCCAGGCATTTTCAACCATTATGTTTTCAAAGAAAATTTCACAATCAAGCTGGAAATTCTAACTCAAACTTTGGCAACCGCAAGGAAAATTCCAGCAGTTGTATACCCACATTTTTGGTTAAATCTTTCGAGATATCAAAACGTTTCATTGCTAAACAGCTTTCACATTTTAACGTGTACATTTTGTCATGCGTTTCGAGCTCATAATACCCCAAGGAAAAATTCCAGGAACCACTTAAAAAAAATTCAGTTCAACCTTTCGGTCATTAAAATTTCCAGCCCTCGTTGGTTATAAATTCAAAATTTCCTTGGCTAAGACATGCTATTAAGCTCTCAGCTTCATCATACACTTTCTTAGCTAAACAATGAACATTTCTAGTTCAAGAGTTGAATTTAAACAACTGTTATAATCTTCAAAATTTCCAGGTTCAAATTCACGGCAGTTTACAAAGAAATTTTCCAGCAATTGTATGTTCTTAACTCCAACTTTTCCTTGGCCAAAACAGGGTATTAGTTACTCAAATTCAACATGCCAACACTTAGATAGGTAATTAACATCTCTCGTTCAAAATCAGATTCAATTAACAACTACAAACATCCCAAAAATCCAGGAATTCATTCGGCTCTTCTTGGATAATCTTGCATACAGCAGATTTTCTTATTTATTTTTGTTTCTAGATTAGCCGGACCAAAACACTTCAGGCAGGGCTTAATCATTTAGTTTTAATTAGCCAAACACCTAACCAAGTGGAAATCAAACACGTTCCAGCAAATTTCATGCTAAAATACCCAAGCAATTTCCAAAACAACTTCAACGGCTAATCTGGAAAATTAGTTCAGCAGTCCAGAAATTTTCTAATAAGTTTTCCAGCCATGCAACCGAAATTCCTAGCCATAAAGTTCACATGCAACACTAAGTAAGGAGCTTATCTATCAGGTTGATCCAAGATTAAGCTCAAATCACCACACCCAGCAAATTAAAACCAAAATTTCCAGCTCAAGTTCTCGGCAGAAGCAAATTCTTACGCAAATCAGATTTTCTTTTTCTAATGACTCATCCGATGGTTTAATATTCAACATGCAAAGCTTAATCCTCTAGTCCTGAGATAAGTAATCATATTTCTGAGCTCACATTACCACAAATGGCCGAGATTAAGGCTGCATTTTCCAGTTCAGTTTCTCGGCAGAGTCATTTAATCAAAACAGAGTTTTCTGAAACTTTGGTTTCCTCATCCGACTACACAACCAAAGCATGCATGCCCCTACGTGACTCTATCTACCTCTGATCAACCCAAAATAGTCCAGAAAATTACCTCAGAATAGCTCAGCTCACGAATAAGAAAGCTACGAAATTTTCTCTCGGCTCACGCACAGGTTTGTTGGTTCTGGTTTTCTGGTTGCGACTGGTGGAGGGTGAAGCTGGGTTGCAGCTGGTTGTTGACGCGGAAAGGGATGGAGCTTGCTCACGGCTTCTTCCTAGTTCCACTCTGGCTTGCAGACAGAACCTTGGAAGAGTTGCAGCTCGTGCGACTTCCTTTCTTTTCTCCCCTCTCGGACGGCAGAGTGAAGCTCGGTCTCTCCCTCTCTAACTCAGTCGATAATAACAAGGCGAAGTGAATGTTGTGGTTGAAGCTGAGATAAGGTGGAGGTGATTTGCGGTGAGGGATAGGTTGAGTGTTTTGGGAGGTTGTGTGTTGGATGAATTTGTGCAGAGAAGATGAAATAGTGGTGCTTGGCAGAAATGGAAGAGTTGGCTCTTTGGTGATTGGCCGAATAGAGAGGTAGCGCATAAGGTTGTCCGAGACTTTGGTTTTGGAATTGCATGGTTGTTTTGAGATAGTGTGTAGGGTGTTTTAGTCTTTTCACGTCTCTTCCTAATCTCCACTCAAGACCTTAGTTCTAACTTAATTCCAAAAATTATCCCCAAGTGTGATTTAAACGTCGAGTTATACACTAATCTACCTAAACCATTTTTTTATCGAATAATTCTCGATTAAACTTTAATATTAAGGTTCCTAGTAATTCCTATATTATTTAGCGATTAAATTAGTTATTAGAATTTCCAATTATTATTTCTCAAGAAGTGGAGTTAGTCTAACTCGAAATTTATCGATTTAGTAATATAAAGTCAAGTGAAATAATAATTAAATCCAAGGGTGTCAATTTGCACATAAAAATTATTTTTACGCACTTATTGTGAAAACAAAGAAAGATAAGGATATATTTATCGAATTTTCACGCCTGAAGTATGTTTAGTATATTAGAATCATATTTATCTAAATTTCATTGGTTTTCATCTTAACGCGGAAATTCTTATTAACATTTAACATTAGCAACTAATTGGAATTAATCATAGGGACTTAAATAATTTATTTTAAGATAGTAAAGCTATTGACTCAAGTATCATTAATTTAGCATAAAGGAGACTAAGTGTTCTAACGTTTTATGTTAAGGCGATAAAATTATTCTAATTCCAAA